ATAGAAGAAGGGCTTTTTGGTTTTCAGTAATAAGAATTAAAAAAAAGAAGGAAGAAAATTAGAACAGCATAGTCTCATAGAAACTGAAGTATCGTCACATCAATTTTGGTACAATGCTATGACGTACAAAGGAGTGAAATAATTGCAAAATAAGCATACGAAGCTTCCGGTGCTAATGAACCCAAAATGCTTTGAATGTGACTTTCAGGAAATGGAGCTCTCCACTCAGAAGGCTGAGAACTCGCTTCATTGCTGTGTGCCAGTTCTCATACAGTGGTTATAGCAGCACCAAGATCCAGCACCATCCAGTGACTGGATGAATGAATCCAAACTCTATGAGAGATTTAATTTTCAAGCTCCGTCTATGCAATTTTATCAGAAGAGGTGACATTTTAGTTCTCACATAGAGGCTTTAAAACGCATATTATCTATGCTTTGAAGGAGATTCTGAATTAAAAGCCTGTGCTTATATGTGCAGGGATTTGAATGCTTTCTGCTCCTCCTCTGGCTTCAGGAGGGAAGAGCTTTGTCTGCGCTCCCCTCAAGGCGCTGATCACACACAGTCTTGCTGCAAGGCAAGGATTAGGGCAAATCCTGTGCTTCGCAGCTTTAGCTAATTGCCGGCAGCAATCAAGAGGGCATTTTCCTTTCACCATCTGTTAGCTAGCAAGAGACTGGCGATCTTGGTTGTTATGTTCTCCATCTTCAGAAACTACCGTGACTGGAGCTGAGCAGCAGTGTGCTCTGAGGTGGAGAAGCACCTTGTTTGTTGGACGGCCTTGCTCACATGTTTGAAGTCACAGCCGTGAGTAAACCCCAAATCCAAAGGGTGGATTTTGCCCAGGTCATACTGACAAGAACCTCAGAGAACTCTGCAAGACTCTCTACATTATGGCAAATAATGTAATCACCGAATCAATCCCATGCCATTGCAGAGAACTCAGAATTCCTCCTTTATAGTAACATTTAACAACAGGAAAGCTTCCCTTGGTTGCCAGTATGCAGAGGTTGGGTGGAAGGTGAAGGTGTCAGCGGCGTGACAGCTTCCTGGTCATAACCTCTAAGAAGAGGAGTCCCATTGATTCCAGTAACACCCCTCTTAAAATAGTGCACAGGAGACCCACTGCCTGCAGATGGAATTTGCAATATTGAACCCACAGAAAAGGAATATAGTGAGAGCATTTTGCTGGACACTTAGCAATTCGCTGGCCAGGCTTTTTTCCTGTTTTCCACTGTAACATAACTGTTAGTTTTAACAAAACCGTTTTGTCTAAGTCAGAATAATTTCTTCATAGCAATGAAGTGAGGTTCTGTTCACAGCTCTTTATTTCTGTGCGTATATAAAGTTGCTGAACTTCCTCTGCTGGATAAAATTATCCATCATGAAAATACAATTAGAAAAGTTAAGAACTGTGATATTTTGGAATCACTGGATATTTCTGCTTCTTCACCAGAACACAATGTCCACTTCTACATAGAGGATATACATGTGTTATTTATACTTGTATATATGCATCCATATCTTGTATATATGCCTATTATTCTTTCTGATTTTACTGTTATAGATCCATTTTCTACTGGGAGTTTCCTGCCTTATGAAATAAATACTTCAAAGAATAGCACCATGCATTAGAATTGAGTATATGAATGACAATATAATAAAATTATTATATGGGGAACTTGTGTAAAGTAAATTAAAAAAAAAATACAAAATTAATTGAATAAAATAGTTCCTTACTATAAAGAATAGTGGGCGCCCTAAACATTACTTTACTGTTCTGAGAGCAGGTTGTTTTTTATTTAATTTAAGAATTTATAGAGCTCTTCAATGGCAATGACATGGGTTGGGGCTCACTTGGGTGAACATGGGGTTTTAATGGCTCTGCCTGGTACCAGCAGGAAGGAACATGCATGAGGATTCTTTCATTCTCTCTGCCTCTGATCTCATTTATAAGTCATGCTCAACCTGACTTGAACTGAATGGCACAGCACTGCAGGATCAGAATGAAATGTTCCAGCAAACCTTCAGTGAAAGCTGTAATTCCTTTTGTCTTGTAAAAACTGCCCTGAAGTAAAAGTGGAAAGGAGTATTTAGCTCAGCCTTACTATTTTGATGACTGTGAGAACACTCATGCCTGAATTGAATGAGATTTCTTCATCCAAGTGCAGTGTTTGAATCTATTTGCTATGCACTAGAGAACAGCTCTTGGTTTAAGGCTCTTCAAAGTGAGCCTTTGCCAAAGAGCAGAGGTGACAGAGATAACATGCCTTCTGAATCAAGACTAAAAGCCAACAAGACAGGTGTTGTCACATAAAAATGGTGGGCTGCCATAAGGAAATGTAATTATTTAAAAGAAAAAAAAAAAAAACCAAAACAACAAGCAGAAGCCCTTTACCTGCTGTTTCCTGGTAAATCTCCTTCCAAGAGAAAGACTGAAAACAGGGGGTCCAGAAAATAATACTCCACTCAGAAAGACAGGAACAGAGCATGGCAAAGCTATATTTGGAATAAAGGAACAAGTGAAAATGGTGAAGGTAGGAAACAACAGGACATTTAGTTCTTTTTCTATAATTCCTTGTTCTTAGGTGCATAATTCCATATGTCACCAAACAAGCATAATTTATTACGCAAGGTATTTTGAGTAACTGGAATTCCAACAGGAATTTATGTCCCAAATGTCTTACATTACAATGATGAGAATCACAAGCAACTTCTGAGTAAGGGATTAGTACAAGAGGGTCACTTTTTTTTTTTTTTTTTCCCGCAGGCCTGAAGACTGTTATAAGAATACCTGCCAGATTTGAAAAGTATGAATAGAGACAACTGAAGAGGGAATAAGAGCCTACTTTACAATTCTGCTGGACTATACCGGGCTCTGAGCCAGCTTCTAAATGGAAGTCAATAGCATTGCATAGCATTGCATAGGTAGCAAACCGGTGCTGACTTCATTCTTGAAAATTTCAAGAAATTGCAGGGTAGGTAAAAATAGATTCTGTCTTTTGTAATCTTTGTACATGTACTTTGTGTTGCAGAAGAACGGAAAAATATCTGAGGGGAATATCTAGGGGACCTAATCACTCCATATCTGAAGTTTACCTCTTTGTCCCTACAATTTCTCTCAGTTGTTATGTTGGCACACTTAATAGGAAAGATTAAGAATACTGAATTGCCTGTGTTGATAAGTGCAGCAGAATTTTAAGTTGCCTATGTAGCAGCAATGTCCCATATGATATCATAACACTGAAGCCATCAGCAACCTTCTACCAAAGGGAGGTTTTCATTATTAGAGAGGAATTCGAGGTGACTACATCCAGGTTTTAACACACATGAGATGCAGGCACTCTGGATATAAAGGGATGGGTGTAGGTGGCAACTGTCTTTTCCACGTCACACTGATTAGTGGTTGAGCTCTTCATCTCTTGCTTCTCCATATGCGTATTCCAAAAGTTCTGTGAGCTGTGTCACTAACAGAGGGCATGTGGCTATTTCTAAAAGTTTGTATCTCAACTTACGGGAAGATATTTCTTTATTTACACGATTTTCTCCTTTCCTTACTACTTTCTCCGCACCTTCTGCATGTGTGTTATGAAATGGCTTTTGACTGCTCAGGTTTTCGTTATAGAAATAGCATTTCATATTGGCAAAGGGCTCTTTCATGCACAGTGCAATGTCAGGCCACAACCTGGAGTCCTGTGGGGAACTGCTACACTTGCCATCATTCTGTCAGCACCAGAAACGACAAATCAGGACCGAAGCAGGGGAAGGACTGCATTGTGCTGGCTACTGTCAATTATCTTACATTAACTCTAGTAAAATACTGGTCTGTGAAAATCATCATAAAATGTTTGAATGATTGTGAATGGAGTACAGATTGAAAAGCTTTTGGCTTGTGCAGCTGCACAGTATGTGACCTATCAAGGATTTGATAGGAAGAAGTTGCCAAGGGAATTGTAAAGCATTGTTTGTAGCTGACTTCAGCTTTTATTGTTGTACTCTGATTACAGCTTTTCTTTGACTGTAAAGTACAGTGGTCAAATGCCAGCTTGAAACAAAGATGCATTTACATGCAAGAACTGAGTTCAAATGAATTCTGTTTTTGGAGATATCACTGCTTTGAGCTAGGGGAAAAAAAAAATAAAAAATTCTCTTATTACTATTTTGGAAAGCAACCAAAAATTTTAGAACAAGTTTAGTATGTGCTTGAAACAGAAACATTCCCATTCTAATTGGTTAAATATCGCTACTGGAAGTTGTTATGTGCCACTCGGACCTCACGGCTTCAAAAGGCTTTGAGGCAGCACCTGAACCAAGAGGAAAAGCGCAGCAGAGGAATCTTCACGTGCACAAACAGTGAATTCATTCCAAGGCAGACTGCAGCCGGTAGCACAGCTCTCCACGAGAGAGGTTGTGCCACCAGCACCGCGTTCCGTACCGCGATGACTTGCACACTGCCTGCCTCCGTTCCCCAGGGACAAAATGGCCGCAGCGTCATTGCTCACGTTTCATAACCACTGCTGAAAACTCTGTCACATGGCAGCAATCATAGAATCGTTTGAGTTGGAAAGGGCTTTTAAAGGTCACCCGATCCAACTCCCCTGCAGTGAACGTGGGCAGCGTGGGGCTCTGGTCAAATGGTGCTGCTGGCACGAGGCACAAGCAGCGTGTCACCTTCTGTGTTGTCATATTTATTGTGCATTATTTATTGTGCATAATTATTGCGCGTAATTATTTTAAATAGCCTTCCCCGCTTTGATTGTATTGGGGTTTTTTTTCTGAGTAGCAGACCACCGCGTTTATTTAATGACGCCCGCCACCCCGCCTGCCTGCGGCCCACCTCCCCCTCAGGCCGGACTACAACTCCCGCCAAGCGCTGCCCGCGCACTACATATCCCAGGATGCTCGGCGGCGCCGCCGCGCCTATGGAGGCTGAGCTGCGGCGCATGCGCACGGCAGGGCGGGGAGCTCGGCGGTGTCGCCGCGCAGAGCGGCGGGGGGGCGGGCGGTTGAGTTTCCTGAGCGGGGCGGGAAGCGGAGGGGAGGGGAAGAGCGAGTTCGAGCCGCCGCCGTCGTGACGGGCCGGGAGCGCGGCAGGAGGAGGCGAACGGGACCCGCGCGCGGCCCGGCTCCTCACGGAGCTCCCGGACTGCGCCGGCCTCCAGTAAGTGCTCGGGGCCGGGCGGAGGGCCGAGGTGGGGCCGCCCGAGGCCCGAGGGCGCGGCGGCGTTCTTCCTGCCGTGCGGGGCAGGCGCTGCCCTCCGCCTTTGCGCAGCGCTTCGCCTGTTCGCCTCGGGCTTCTCCCTTCTCTTTCTTCTATGATTATTATTTTTTTCGAATGTCATTTTGATTTTTAACTTCCTGACGAAAGCTTGGCTTTGGTGTGGGGGTCTCCGGGCGCTTCACCTCGAGGGGGCTGCACGAAAGGTACAAAAGGCGATGGCACGATCGCCCGGCTGAGAATTTAGGGCTCGGTCACATCCCCAGCGCTAAAGGGATGATCTCATGACCCGCGTTTATTTGATTTTTTGGTTATTATTATTATTTATCTCTCCCTTCTGTTTCTCAGGTGTTACCAGGGCACAGCCTGCAGTGCTGGGCGTGGGCTGCTGTGAGGTGCGGAGCTGTGGTGGCTGTGGCAGCCCCCAGCCCTCAGCCTGAGCGCTGCTGTGGCTGCACACGGGCTGTTGGAGGGAGCTGCAGGTTAGCAGCGTGCTGCTCAGCCACCTGGGCTGCTTGTTTCTCAAAGCAGAGGGTCTCTGAGTGGATAACTTGCCTATAAATGTGTGTTAAAGTCTGTCACGTTGGCACTCTGTAGCACAGGTGCCATTCCAAGTGTGCGTTCGGCGTGTTATGAACTAAAGACTTAAATTCTGCGGGTGCCTTGGGAGTAATTAACACATAACCTGCACAAAAGGCGTTGTGTTACTGCATTAAACATTTGCCAAATGACTTCAAGAGAGCAGTGTTTTGTCTCTGGAGAGCAGGCTGTTATTTTGAGGCCTGTTTTTGAAACGTCTTCTGTTTTTACTCTCTTGGTTCATTGGGGGAGATTAAAAACGCTCTGATGGAATACTTTATATTCAAGTGGGGAAAAGTTCAGTTATACAACTTATCAGGCTGATCGTTAGGTAGAAAATGCTCTCATTTGACTGAGTAAAGCTGAGAATGAAACTGACCTTTTTTCTTCAGGTTGTTAAGATTTCTCTGTGCTTCACCTTGCAGAAGCATTGTGCTTTTACAGAGGTTACCAGCCATTTATGTATATATGCAAAGATGCACGTAGAATCCAGACTGCTGGATTCCATAAGCTTTTTGTTGCCTTCTGACACATTGCTTTACTTCACCAAGAAGGGGCCGTTGTATCTGCAAAGGTGCATGTCCTGTTCTCTTCCCCTTCACCCAGCCCCGTATGTGATACTGGGAAACAACCGTATTTGATCACAGTTTGCCTCTGTGAGGTGTTAGAATAGCTGTGCATTGTTGGATCCAGAAGGGTTTTTTGTCTTTTTTATTTTTTTTCTCTTTATCCACTTCCTTTTTCTACGCTTTGACCGTGTTCATTATGATACAGCACAAACCCAATCTCTACCATGATAGAGCTGTGGGGAATGTCTCTGGCTGGATGGTTTACAACAAGGTATTCCTGGCTGTCTTAACAAACTTACTAGACTGAATTTTTAAGTATTTCTTTTATTCTTTTGGTGTAAAAATAGTTATGAAATATAATGAAGGCTTGTGTCAGTTTATTTCACAACTGAGTTACAATGAATCTTTCAGGTACATGCAGGAATGTGATCACCTATGGAAAGAATTCTTTCTCTGAGCTTAGTCATTGCTTCTTATGATGTACCATGCTGGATACATTGAGAGGAAATCACTTCATTCTAGAAAGTGTTAACAGTGGGTTTGGAGCAGTGGATTTGCCTTTCAGGTTCCTGCAGTTTTGTCTCCTACTTCTGGTTATTATTTTTACACGTTGATCAATTCACACAAGTAACAATGTGCATGACACTGTCAGGTTCCTAAAGCAGAGAAGTGTGGAAGTTCTGCTTTCCTGTTTGTCACATCCTTAAGTGTAACGGGGTGGGCTGGAGTCTTACTTAGAGGGATCATCAGCCTTGTCAGTATTTGAAGGAGAGCCTTGTAATTCAGGGGTAAATAAGCCCTGATGCTGCAGAAAGTATTAATTCAAGAGATTATACTGGGTTTTGTGCATTCTAACAGTTAATACTTGGCATGATATCACTGAGTGCTGGGCTGCCAGAGACAGCTTTGCATTAAAAAAAAGTAAAATTTGTTATGAATCTGGTGTCTGCAGTTACTCAGCGCTGCTATTTTGTTACTGTAGGAAAAATCAGTTCTGAGTTAGTAAAATGTACAGATGAAATCTGTTTTCTTAAGCTATTTCTGTGTTACATAACTGCAGCTGGCATAAGCTTCCATTGTGTGCATTTCAAAGATGGAAATCAAGAGGAAAGATGTGCGGTAGGTGACTAACAGGGTATATTGCAGCATTTAAGTGTTTTGGAAGAAGAGATGCTTACATATAAACTTGAGAGAGGACAAAAGAAGTAGTGTGTACGGGAAATAGGAAGCACCTTAATGTTTTTTTTCCCCTTTCTGTCACCTCTCCCCTGTAACTGTCCTTTCTTAGGAGCAGTGACTGAATGATAGAGAGAAGATGTACACATCTCTGCACCCCACAGTGCACGTGTAGGGAAAAAACCTGAATGTGAGAGAAGACCTTGATTTTTCCAAATAGCTGCGACTTGTTTCAGAAGACAAGGAAGTTCTATCAGCAGGAATAAGAAAGGCTGACTGTATGTCAGACTGTTAATGCAGAAGAGAGGAAGTGCAAAAGTCCATTTTTATTGACTGTAACAGATTAGAAAAAAGCTTTAGGACGTTACTAAAATGTGACCTGATCTGTGCCTGCAATACAGCCTCCAGTGCAGGATTGGATGGAGTCCAAAATGCCAGGCCTGCAAAATTCTTAATCTATTTTAGTAGATTTAGAATTCCATCAGTGTCTTTATTACTAAATGGCCCTGGTTATTTGAGCTGACACCTATCACAGTAAATGGAGTCACTTCAAAATGCAGCAAGCTTGAAGCACTGGGAAGTGAGAGCATGTCAGGAGTGTGAAGTTCCCTAGCCTGTGGTGGTATGTGCTCCGCTGTAGCCAGCTGTATGTCACTGCTAGTCTGAACAATGGCTTGTGATAGAAGAGAATGCATCCTTCTTTGCAGCAGTTGTTTTCTCTGATAGTCAGGAGCAATGGAAAGCATTCTCTGAAAATGCTTGTGGGGTTTGGAGCCAAGTAAGCCTTAGTGCGGTTGTACGGCTGTGAGAAAGTAGAGGGCAGTCATTTGTTTCAGTGCCAAAGTAGGTGAATTTAGGTAACTAGATTTAGCATAGAACATTTTTACAAAGTGGAGTGAGTAGTTCAGAACAAGAGATAAAACTGTCTGTTCTTTGGTTTCATTGAGTCTAAATGCAGCAAGACGTGGCGGAACGTACTGCTCACAGTGCTTTATAGAACTGCATAAGAAACAGAAACATCAAAATCCCAGTGAGTTTACCTGACATGAAAATGATGTACGTTCTCTTTTTTTTTTTAAAAAAAAAAGCATGCTGAAGAGGTTGGAGAAACAAGTACTGTTTAAGTTTGGGTTTTGACGTTATATGCATTAATGTACAAAACGACTGATATTAGAGATAAGGCTGAACTATTTAAAAAAAGAGTTCTTCTGTGCTGCTCTCTGAAACTAGGACTTTGTACATCTGTAAGTCAAAGGTCATTGTCTGATATGCAGCAGTCTAATTTTGAAACACTTAGATATGTATTTGTGTATGGCTCAATTTTATAAATAACACCTTCCTGTTAGTGCTAGGTAAAGCAGCAGGGTTTTGTTGCTGCTAAGGAAGGAAGCTTGGTTCATTGTCTCAGCACTGAGCAGCATTTTCTCCCTCCAGGGACTTGCAGAAGCATCTAGAATGTGTAGGTGTTTCTTTAATCTTGGAGAAGGAACTTATTAAGCTTTCTGGGGCAGAACTGTATGAGCCACTTACTTTTAACAGATGTTATCTGCGTGAGTAGGGAGTTGCAGGTCTGGTAGACGTTTGTGGCATTTAATAGTTTAAACAGTTTTCAGGTTTGAACATATGCCTTTGCCTTGAAAATCTGAATAGTTTCAGGTATTTTATGTAGAAGAAAGGTGGTTCAATGGTGAGTCTGCTGCGCTGAGACTTGGGAAACAGGTTGAGCTCTGTGCGTTGCCAAAAGCTCTCTGTGTGGCCTGGGACAAACTGCTGCTCTGTCCCTCCACATTCAGCTGGAGCTGCAGAGCTCAGTGCATCACCAGGTGTTACAAGGTACAGCAGTCAAAGACAAAGCAGTCAGGCTTTGAGGCTGCTTTGTGGCTTCCTTATGTTGGAAGTTAGAGGGTAGGTGAGCTCCCTGCTGACAATGAAGTCGAGGAAAAAAGAATTCTGGCAGAAAACCTTTTGGGTCAATTAAAGGTAGAAAGCAGGTTATTAAAGGCTGGAGGAGCACTGCGTTGTTTTGTGTATTAAAAGCGAAAGTATAGAAGCAGTGCTTAAAAGCCTGAATGAGCCAGATCTTTCTGTTGTGATCCAAGGAACGATAGCAAAGCTGTCTGTTTTCAGCTGTCAACTCTCCTTTTATTTGGAAAATGCCATTAATTCTAGGTAAGCATTACATCCGAGTGGTTTAGCTATCAGTTTTGTTTATTAGTTATTGCTGGCATGGCAGAATGTCCTAAATTCCTTTTGATTTTATTGGCTTTTCAGGTGAAAGAAGATGAGAACAGATCAGCTTTTCCACCACACCACTGAGCTAAAAGTATTTTGGTTAAAAATCCTTCTGCTGGAAGTTAAAGATGAAACTGTCCTTGCTGTAAACTGAAAGTACAGACTAGACAGTGGTTACCAAGCTGTGCAAACATGAGTTCTTATTGCTGAGAGCCTACGCCCCCAGGAGCAGTCTCTGCACTGACAGAGATGTGATAAATTCATCAGTTTAATATGCAGTTATTTTGATGTGTATGAGTGCTTTGGTCCCCATCACATTTACATCCCTTGTCCAATAAAATATTTGAACTTGTTCAGACTAGAGATTTAATTAAGTGTTCTTCTGTT